GAAAATTTGCCGCAGTTCGGCTGGGGAAGGAAGGTAATATTGCACTTTCGTTATTTCCCATTGTGGTGTCGAGTCATTTAGTAGAATTTTGTGAAATCTCGTCCTTCCATAGAGTGGTACAAGTCAATGTTTGTGGAGCCACTTGGTCAACTCTTGTAAAGAATACCTGTCAACGCTTGTAAAGCAATCAGTACGACAGTGAGAAGTAGCGAAATGCCCCCCGCCCCCGCTCCCGCGCTCGAGCAGAGTTGCGACGAAGTTAGCGATCAGAGGGTAAAATTACAGCTAGGACAAGTTGTCACTGTATTTGATGAATTGACGTGTTCTAGCGCCAGCGGAGGTGGCGCGGGTGCTAGGTGTTTTCGCGCCAAGCGAGTGTGAGACTCGCGTTCAAGGGCTTAGGCCACCCCAAGCAAAACTCAGATCTGGTTTTGGGAGCGAACGGCTGAATCTCGTTCCGACTTCATAGCTAAAACTGGTCTGGGGTTCCGATGAATCTAGCTGAAATTCGAAAAGTGGGGTATAATAAAGGATATAAGTGCCTTTTACTTGAAGTGTTCTATCCGTATGTGGTTAAGAATTCAAAGGGGTACATGTTGTAGCGATGGAGAATGTGAGATAACCACCGCGACGCCCTGTAATTGATAAGGCCTCCTACGACCACTCGTCGTCAGTCCGATGTGGTCTAGTGGTTAGGATTTGCGGCTCTCACCCGCAAGGCCCGGGTTCGATTCCCGGCATCGGAAGAAGTTTTGCAAATGTTACTAGTGGTCACAAAATAGTTACTTGGTGCACATTATTGTCTATAATGCTATGTTTTCATATATTTGTTCTTTTATTTGCGAAATTTTCTGAAAAAACTCGGGCATTAATGCAGGTCTCTCATGTTGTTCTTACGCATATTTCATTGAGAATTGCCACTGTTAATATTGATTACTATTTTTTGAAATTATTGTTTTGATTTGTTCATTTTCTGATTTCTTCAAAACACACTCTTAGTCATTTCTGGAAGTTTATTAAGTTTTTTCAGCCCGTGGAATTTCAACGAAAGATGATGGATGAAGTGCGTTTACGTGACATCATCGCTAATTCAATCGTCGTTCCAGTATATGAAGAGGACGTTATTTATGAAACTGCACCTCCTCAGGTTAATTTCAGGATTGATTTATTCATCAATTTACGCTATTTCTGGGGAATAAGCTGCTCTTATGCAGATTCCCCTTGTTAAACACTCAATAAACACTTCATCATCCAGGGCACGTAGTACACTGGGAAGAGGGCACCCACTGGGGAGGCGAGGAGGTTTGCATAACACGACTTTCCGTCGTAGTTTTGTTATCTGGTACGATCCCCCTCCTCTTCCCCATCCCACCTACGATCTTCTTATACACTCCCAACTCCCACTTCGTGCCAATTTGAGTTTTTTTTCCAGAAATTTTCCAGTTTTTTTTCCTACAAAAATGCCGTTGGGTAGGGTGGAGCGGCGGGGGAGGTGTAACACACGTGAAAAGGGAAAACCGAGAAAAGTCTACAACCGAAAACGTTTTTCTCAAGGGCAAATCCGACTTCATCCAGCAATCAGGTTCTACCCTCTCCTTGACGAAGTACGACTTGCATTGATGGGGGAAGCCATTGCGGGGGAAATGTTTGGTCGTTGGAGGAGGGGAGGTATCCGCTCTAGTAACTTTTTTGGTTTGTTGATTGTTCCCGCAGTTTCGCAGGCTGTTACCAGTAGTCAGTCTTGTGTCGGTCATTTTGGTCGTGCAAATTAGGCCAAAGTTGAGGACTATGGTGTGACTAGGTGCACACCGTATTCCGAAGGGGGGGGGGAGGGAGCTGAAAGCGTACATGGAGACGTTTGTTTGATGGGAATTTTGCTGGGTCCCTTCACTGCCGATGCCGTGTGTGAAGACTTGAAAATTCATGTGAACTTGTGCAGCAGGAGCTTCGATTACCCCTGACAAGGGTTTACAGGTCACACGAAGGTGTGACGGGTAATTTGACAGGAGAGAGCAGAAGAAATTAGCGAAGTTGTAGAGTGCCCCTCCTAAGCCGAACAGCGCCGCGTTCTTCATTTGAACGTGGCCGCAGCTGCGCTTCTGGTGGGATATTGCCGTTTTGGGACAATTTTTTTTGTCCAGCACAAGTCAGGAAGACAGTTGTCTCAGATAGAAATGTCCCGCGACAAACTCATCCTGAAATGATAGACGAGGCCACGCCCATCCCCATCTCGGGGATATGGAGTGTATTTTCCTGCGTGTTGTCACGTGCGTCTCTAACTTTTGATGAACCCTGCTTGAACTCCAGAAGACATGTTTATTTTTCCCTACCACATACAGTCTATTTTTTAGGATACCCGAGAAGAAAATCAACAACGTGAAATAGCTATGCAAACCCTGGACACACATCCACGGGAACCGAAGACCGTTGCAGTTGTTCCGGAAAACGACGAACAGCACATAGAAGTCATCGATGTAGGCGAAAACGATGAGAATATGCAGATGACGGTAGTGAACGATGCAAGCCCTTCTGTGGCGATGCCACTACTTGAACAGGACATTTCCATTGAGAACGAGGTAAGGCTGCACAATATTTATTTATTTATTTATTTATTTATCATGCACGCATAGGTGCGCTAACAATGCAATCGATATGCTTCGAGTTATAGACAATAACGAGAACGAACAACAATACCGTTACTTAAAAATACAAAAATTGTAACGCAGATACAAGGAGGAGAGACCACTAAACTGCAAGATTCAGGGATCCTGAATACTTAGCAAGGTCATCAGGTCAACCTTCTTTAACTTTTCTCTGAACGTATAGGTGTTAGGCGCCTTCTGCAGGTCTGATGGAAGTAATTTGAGATATCTCGCTCCACGGAAAAACAGTGAGTTGAAAACCCTGGTTCGGTGGCTTCTGCACAGTTTAGGACATTGTAAGGACAACGAGGAGGTGCGGCCATTTGTCGGCCTGAACACCCAGTACTTACTGGGTTTCAACCTTAGCTCTCCTTTCAGTATCTTGAAACAGAACACAATGTCATTGAACACTCGTCTGTGCATTAGTGATTTGAGGTTGAAAAAGTGTAGGCGCTCCTGATAGCTGGGCAAACTATGCGGATACTCAGGATTGGGAAAACAACGATACATCAAAACTCTCGTAAAAGTTTGCTGCACCTTTTCGATTTTCGCCTGGAGCTTCTTAGTATGAGGGCTCCATATTTGCGAACCGTATTCGAGAATGGGGATGACGTATGCTTTATAAAGCTTCAGTAGAATTGAAGAGTCGTTCTGTCGAATATTTCTCAAGATGGCAAAGAGGGTCATGAAAGCTTTACGAACAATAGTATCAATGTGATGCGAGAAATCCAAACTGGAATTCATGAGGATCCCAAGATCGCGAACTTCTCTCGAAACACTTATGGAGATGCCGTCGACGGTGTACGGTACAACTATGCTTTTCCTATATGAAGTACAGAAGTTTTCATAAAATTAACAGGTATACCCCAAGCAGTAGCCCACCCCATCATGTTGCATACAGATTGGGTTAACGCTCGGTGAACGCAGTCATGGTTATAATTATCATAGACACCGTATATTTTGATGTCATCGGCGTATATTTTAACACTGACCAATGGGTGGGTATTTAGGCAGGCTGGAAGGTCGTAGGTGTACATCAAAAACAGCAGAGGAGACAAGACACCTCCTTGTGGAACTCCACTAGTGCAGGGGAAACTCTGTGAAAACTGTCACCCACTTTGACACACATGTGTCTATTCTTCAGATAACAGCTGATCCAGCTAAGGATGGGACCTTCAATTCCCAACTGCCACAATTTGTTCAGAAGCTTTTCATGATTTACTTTATCGAACGCTTTGGACAAGTCGAAATAAATAACGTCCACACCCTTCCCCTTGTTAATAGCTAAATTCCAATCAAACAGACAGTCTGCCATAAGAGGTACCTGTGGAAGCACCACTAATAAACCCATGTTGTTCTGCGGGAATCAGATTGTTCTTCATCAAATGAGATACAATTTTATCACGTAAAATCATCTCCAGAGCTTTAGCAGGGGGTGCCGTAATGCTTATAGGGCGAAACGAAGAGACATGCTCAGGCTCGGGTACCTTAGGAATGGCAGTAACAATGGATTCTTTCCAGCTCAGCGGGACCTCACAGAACATAAGAGAAACATTGAGTATCATACAAATAGGTTTGCATAAGGATAGGGCACAGTTTTTATAAACAATTTGTGGAATACCATCGAAAGGAACCGAGGTGGAGCACTTGAACGATTAAGTGTTTTGTACACGTCTTCATTGGTTACAACACATTCCCTGAGAGTATCAGAGATACACGACTTTGGGAGCTTACATCAGGGTCTTATGTTACCTGCAGAGAGAAAACAGAAGAAAAGAACTTGGCGAGGGCTTCAGCTTTTTGGACATCAGTTACAAAAAGATTACCTGTGTCATCATGAAGCACAGGTATACTAGTGTGAGCCTAATCCTACTTCTAATCAGCGCAAAAAGAGCTCTTCTATGGGGGCTACTGATGACCCTTCTTTCCTTATAAGACAGGAATCTCTTTAAGTGATGATCAAGCTCACGACAAACTTTTTTGTACTGAAGAGCTGACAATGGGTCATTTGGTGACTCAACATAGAGCCGCGCTTTCTGAGCTAACAAATTGCTAATATGTCTCGGATATTTCGTTGGTGGCACAGATACGGAATTGAAGGGTACATACTTAGATAGTGCTGCGTAGACAACGCGGCAAAATCTTTTGTACATGTCCTCACAAGAAGCATATCCATCAAATACGCCCCACCAATTTATAGAGGAAAAGTACTTCGATAGCGAAGAGTAATCCGCTTTGGCGAAATTGGTAATGGGAGCTTACTTGGCTTAGATGAGGAAATGATAATTTTGAAAAGATATTATGCTGTGATCAGACGCTGCAAGAGGAGGTAACACCGAAACGTTTCTAACAATATCAGTATTGGATAGTATTATGTCCAGAGTAGACTCTTCCTCGTGTGGGCATTACATGCTGAACAAAGCCACAACACCGAAAGAACTCTAGAAACTTAGCGGAAACAGAATTGTTGGCTCTGCCCATTTTCCAGTCAACATCGATATTAAAGTCGCCTAGAATAACCAGATGCCTATTCGAAGTACATAGATCGAGCAAAGAGTCGATGAGGGTACTATCATCATCTGACGTAGAATTAGGTGGTCTATAAACAAGCACAACCCTAAACAGAACAGCGGAGGATATGTCATAGCCATCCAGGCAGAAGTAGTTCAGAGTTGAGGGAAGCTGGGCTTGCAACAGAAGCAAGGAAAAATGCATTCTTGGCTATACAACAAACACCCCCACCCTTACGCTCCTTACGATCAAGCCGGAAAATGTTGTAGGGGCGACTTTCAAGAAGTTCGGAATTTGTAATTCTCGAGGAGAGCCATGTTTCGGTAATGAAGACCATATCTGGGTTGTATGTATCTAGGAAAAAGTGCAAATGGTGCATCTTATTGCTTAAACTTCTAGAATTAAAAAGGTAACATCGAATACCTAGGAGTGGACCGTGGCAGACTTAGGCGTTTCCCGAGCCCCGTCTTTTGGGGAGCTCGTCGACGCGCCTTAGCTCACCACGGTACACTACCCAAACACGGCCATTTAACTGTTTATTGCGAGCCCTGCACTCTTCCCTTAACTCGAACTCGTGTTTGCGCTCAGCAGCGGTTAAGCTTTTACGTATGTATACATTTGAGAAACCTGCTGCGCGCAAACGATGGCTATTGGTAAGGGCCGTGAGCCAGTGACTCCTGGCTGGGAGTACAAGTTTAACCAATCGTGGGTGTGCACCTCCAGGTTTCCCCATACGGTACACCTCCACGGGGCGGCACTCGACCCCCATACAGTCAGGATATCACTGACTTTCCCTTCGAGCTTCCTGCTGCTTAACAGAGGGAGGTGTAGTAGGGGCAGATTCAGGGATTCCGAAAATCACCAGGCTACGTGCCCTCTTTTCAGCCTCAACAGCTTCCGTTATCGTCTCCGGCAACTTAGCCACCAGCGCGTTGATATATCTTCCCATAACAGGGTCCTTCAATTGCTCGTTCCTTTCCATCATTGCACTAATAAGTTCCGACACCGACATCTGCGCAACATCATCTCAGACGGACCGTTGGTCAAAGTACTCGAAGTGCCTGCCTTTAGCAGTTAGCAGATTGGCGAGCCCTCGTTTTGTTCTGAGACATGACCAACTAATCAAAGTACTGAGTATCGAAACTTAGCTGCGTCGCCGGTGAAAATGTTCCGTACAATCGCCAACTCCAGTGACTGTGACGGGATATAGACAAGATATACTGGTATATCCTTAGAGTAGCTGTCGTGTGAACGTGTATTTGATAGGAATACCACGTTGTATTGTTAACAGCAGTAAATCAGGCGATAAGCAGTTTAGTATCAGAATATGCCCGGAGCGATAAAAATACCGGCCGATCGCGACACGTGTAACCGAGAAATGTCGTTGAGCTTTTGTGGCTTTTCCGATTGAGATTCTGCCTTGAATTCAGCACTACTTTCCTCTCAATTTGGTTAAAAAGCTCCAATTGGAAGAGGAGAGAAAGTTCCGTGCAGTCGCTCTTTTTCGGCAAAAGCGTGGTATTCAGGTGGTCATTTTGCTCCAAAAAAGGGCTTGAAGATAGAACAGGGATTGTTCTCTGTTGACCCGCAAGTAGCTGAGCAGTTCTCCATAAATTCATTATTTTTCATTTCATTCTGGGAGGGGTGGCCCAACACATCCATATTGCGGCAAAGGAGGCATTGCGCACCAGGACCCACTTGATTCAGAGTGACAGTATAGTGCGTCGAATCAACTCGGAAATGCTCTGCAAATTCTTGCGCAACGCAGCGACGCGGATGTCCTGAGCCGTGTTGCAATTATTTTAGAGACTCGTGTGTACAAAAATTTGTGAATTTCTTTTTTCTTCTTGACAGTGTTGATTTTAAGCCTGCTGGAAGTTCCGACGCCAAGCAGAAGAAGAAGAAAAAGAAGCGAAAATTGGATGTGGAAACGAATGGTAAGGAGGAAGATGTTATTGTACTAGATAACGATATGGATATCCTAGAAGTCACGGAATCATCTTCTTCTTCTAAAACTGGTAATTTTCGACCATTCTGTGCGATACTATAGCGTTCTGAAGAAAATAGCTAGTAAAGGTGTATTTCAGACTCTTCTTCGAGCGATGATAAAAAATTAATAGAAGCGCAACGCCAGGAAATCCAACGGTTGAAGAAAATCAATGCGGAACTCTACAACTTTATGGCATCAGAGTTGACAAAAAAGTAAAAATAACTGTACACGTGAAATTTTGTTGTTATTGTTGTTGTTAGATATTTGAAGTTGTTGATGTTTATTTGTTGGAAGTTTGCAAGTTTTGTACCGATGGTCATTTGCACATAAAATTCAGAATCTATGTTTGGTCTTTGTGAGGGCGACAAAGTGGAGGAACAACAGAGTTTTCCCTGATGAGTAACCGGAACTGTCTGGTCAAGGGCACTCCGTATCTTGAAGATGTAGAAGATGTAGAGGGCGTGGCCGCATAGTTTATTGGGATAGATCTGCCGTTGTGCTTCTGATGGGATACTTTCGTTTCGGGAGAAATTATAGGCACGTCTTTGTCCAGCGCAAAACATTACTCAGATGGAAAAATCCTGGGTATGTCAGGTCTAAATGAAACATCTAGCCACGCCCTTCCCATCTTCGGGATATGGAGTATATGCTGTGTGCTGAGGCAATCATTACAAGTGACTGTGACCCTTGAAAAGATTCGGATGCGCAGGAATCCATCACGGAAGATCCAGTCGTTTTCGCACGAGAAATGGTGCAGGTTTCCCCCACAACAGAAAAGTGAAGTCGCTGCTGAAACTGTGCCAGTAGAAGAAACCTTTCAACTGATCATGAAGGGTTGCGAGTTGCAATCAGGTCAAACTACATATGAGCGGAGCTATCTTGAACTCTTGACCTTTCGAATGAAAGGGCAAGCGTAACCACTGAGCTAGCGAAATACCATCGTACAGATTCTGCATGTGAAATATACATAGCTGGTGCTGTCGCAATCATTCAGAACGGGGCCAGGAGAGGGGGGGGGGGGTTGAGACCCGCCTCTGGCTGCATTTTCAACCAACTGTGATCAGCGAGTTGTAAGAGAGTGTGCCGCTCACATTGGGAGAACCCTGCTACCTTTATACGGCATCCTTCT